GACACTCATAGATATGTAAGTTTTATTTAACTCATTATTAATAAGGCAACGATAATGATGTCAAAGCCAGTGCAAAGGACAAAGAACAGACATATTTATAGATGAGGACTACAGAAACGAATGGAGGCAAAGTTGACTTCTTTCCTGGTAGAGGAGGGAAGTCAACTGACCTTCCAGGGGACAGGATTTATTTATATGTCTATAGACAAGAATTATTTTGCATTCCTATCAGTTATCCACAATTTACAGAGTTGTAAATTAGCTCAAAGACAAAGAAAGCCTCAGTGCCCACAAAGAATCAAAATCAAATCACCTGGAAAGGTGAGCCCTAAACAGCACACAGCTTTCCACTGAGTCACATTGTCCTCCTACAGGTTCCTCTGATACAAGTGCTTTTTACTTCTGTAGGACAGACGTCCCAAGGTGGGATTGCTGTGTTAAAGGGTTATGTGCATTTAAAATTGTAAGAGACACCGCTTGATCAGTTTACTAGGGAGTTCGAGATCTGCAGATACTAACTACTACACATAAAATAGATAAACAAGTTTCCTCTGTACAGCACAGGGAACTATATTCAATATTTTACAGTAACCTATAATGAAAAAGAATATGAAAACAAATATATGTATGTACATGTATGACTGATACATTATACTCTACACCAGAAATTGACACATTGTAACTGACTATACTTCAATTAAAAAAAAAGTCTGCTCTAGGGAAGATACTGCCAACGTAATGAGAAGACAAGACAAAGACTGGGAGAAACTCTGCAAAAGAATATATCTGATAAAGGATTTATCAGATATTTTTATTGGGTACTATCTGATAAATTATTTTATAAATTATTTATCAGATATTACCCAAAATATACAAAGAACACTTAAAACTCAACAGTAAGAAAGTAACTAACTGGATTAAAAAAATGGACCAAAGACCTAATAGACACCTCACTAAAGACGATGGCAAATAGGCACATGAAAAGATCATTGTATGTCCCACAGCATATGTCACTAGGAAAATGCAAATTAGAACAATGAGATATCTCCACGTACCTATTAGAATGGCCAAAATCCAGAACACTGACAACACCAAGTGTTGTCAAGGATGTGGAGCAACATACATTGCTGAAGGGAATGCAAAACGCTACAGCCACTTTGGAAGATGATTTAGCAGTTTCTTACAAAACTAAACATACCCTTACCATATGACCCAGCAGTCATGCTCAAAAGAGTTGAAAACTATGTTCACACAAAAACCTGCACATGGAAGTTTATAGCAGCTTTATTCATAACTGCCAAAACTTGGAAGCAAGCTAGATGTCCTTCAGTAGGTGAACTGATAAACTGTGGCACATCCAGAAAATGGAATATTATTCAGCATTAGAAAGAAATGAGTTATTACACCATGAAAAGACATGGAGAAACCTTAAGTGCATATTACATAGTGAAAGAAGTCAATCTGAAAAGGCTGCATACTGTATGATTCTAACTATATGACATTCTAGAAAAGGCAAAAGTATAGAGACAGTAAAAATATCAGTGGTTTCCAGGGGTTAGGGGTGAGGGAGGGATGAATAGGCAGAGCGCAGAGGATTTAGGCAAACTACCCTGTAATGGTAGACACGTGTCATTCATTATACATTTGTTCAAACCTACAGAATGCACAACACCAAGAGTGAACCTTACAGTAAACTACGGACTTCAGGTAATTGTGACATGTCAGCTGTAACAGATGCACCGCTGTGGTAGAGATGTTGATAACAGGGGAGGCTACGATGTGCTGGGGTAGAGAATATACCAGAAATCGCTGTACCTTCCTCTCAATTTCGTTGTGAACCTACAACTCCTCTTTATACCTTTTTTGTCTTTTTAAAACAAAACAAAACATAAAACTAGTCGCCTCTCCCAATCTTTGCACACTAGTTCTGTGCTAGAGCAGTCCTTTACTAATTAACTGGTTTGCTCTCAGCCTAGGGATCAGATGGATGAGAACGTAAGCTTTTCTGAACTCTTTTCTGGACATGCATCTCGGTTGGATCTTATGTTGCTTTTTCAGCTGCTTTCAAATATCTTGATTTCCCAAAGTCTCAACACAGCCTCCCCTCAGGGCTGTAAATGGTCTACCCGATGTTTCTACCTTTAATGCCTGGCCCAGGGTGTCTGTGGGACGGCAGTCTACCCACAGCTTTCGTGAGCAGTGCCTGCTACTTTTCCCCACCTGAGTGCCAAGTTAGACAAACTTGAGTCCAGTACTTCTGGCAGCCCTCAGACAAGGCAAAACTTTACAAATAAATGCTTCTGTGTTTCCTCTTGATTGGAGCAAGGGAATGGGAACTCAGCTTTGCTCCAGACCAAGACCTTGCCGCACTGAGGAAGGGACAGGTCAAGGGCAAATAAAAATGCCACAAATTTGCCCACGATTTCAAATGCACTTTTTTTTTCTTGAGTCAGTGTTCGTTTGGTTGCTGTAGATCTTTTACTGGTTTCCAGAGCTTTCATATGGTTATTTTAGCCAGTTTCTGGTTGTTTTTCACGCATCTAAGACAGATCGAGGGCTTGGAGCTTCCTGCTAGGCCATTTTGCTGACTTCTTCTACCATAACCATTTGATACTGACATTGTACTAGAAATCATAGCCCACTCAAGATGGTGCTTAAAAGATAGAAAACATAAAAGAAGCAAAAGTTTTGCAAAAGAACCGAAACTGTCATTCACATGTTACATGATGTTACACAGAAAATCCAAAGCACCTAACAAATTCATTATTGGAATTTATAAGAGACTTTTGGTAGTAAGCTATATACAAACCCAGTACTTTATAAGTGAAATTTTAGAAGAGATACCATTTACAATAGCTTCAAAAATATGAAACAGCCACAAATAAAACTCATGAAAATGTGTAATACTGCTATGGATAAAATATATGGAAAGTTATCAGACCTAAAAAAAAAGGAGAGCTATACCATGGTAATGGATGGTTAATGTTAGAATCGGAGAAAAACGACCAGACACAGCTCAACGTCAGAATCAGGTTTATTGCAAAAAAACCCTGCAGAGCGGGTCTCCAGTTGAACTGTAGCCCGAGCTCTGCGTACAGGTTTGTTTATTTATGCCTGGGAGTAGGAACTGATTGGTGGGTCCTTATGCAAATGAGGGATGCTGAAAGTGAAAGGGGTGTATTGAATGGATGCTCCCTCCAGCGGCTCTCGCTCTCACTCAAGTCCGGGGAGGGTTTTACAGGCGGAGGGGGATTTTTACTAAAGGCGGACGTTGTGGCTTGCATTCAGCTCAGCTTTTCCTGAGATGGCGGCTGATCAAAATGAAGTTGGTTTTGCCAGTTAAAATCAAAATTGTTACGATATCAACTTTCCCCAAGTTGATTTACAGATTCAACGAATCTAGTCAAATTCTAAGCATTTTTATTTACAAGTTGTCATGACAATGGTTTGTTATGCCTGTGAGTTATTCTAGCAAAGACAGTTGAACAGAACTTATGTAAGGACACTTAATGACATTACCTTATCAGGGTTTAGTTATCTGCTGTGTTAACAAAGAGTGGAACTCCATGCGGCAGCCTACCCGGGCGCCTACCGCAGATACCTCCCACACACTCTTTTCACTTCTTCCCATAACGCTTGTTTTCTAAACTGCTATATAATTATGTTCATGGCTTTTTGTCTGCTCTCCACCTCCTACCCTCCCTCTAGTACAAAAAAAGTTTCCCAGAGCAATGATCTCTGTTCTGTTCGCTGACGAATTTCAATAGGTAGGGGCTTGGCACACAGCAAGTGCT